AGCCGTTGTCCAGTCTCACTCCGCTTCCCTGCGCTAATACCGCTCTTGCGTCCGGTCAGGTCCGGCGCCGCGCGGATTCAGACCAGACTGGCGTTTTGTTTCCCCCGCGAGGGTCTCACAAAGCCCTAGCCATCCTCTTGTCTAATTTGGACAGGGAGGGGGTATGAATTTGACATCGAAACCACCACCACCACCCTTCTCACACAAAAAGACTGCGCATTGTCTCGGCCACGCCCGCTGCCCGCCAGCCATCCTCCTTCTCTAGCCATGAAAAATAGTCTGTATGACCTGATTCGGTGTAAGCCGCCGAGGGTGCGCAGGTAGGCGAGAGAGCGAAAGAGGCGACGACGCCCCCGTCATTATGCATTCGAATCCCTAACTCTAGGTTGCCATTCAACACCCATCATGCGATTCCCAGTTCCCCTCACCCGTCCGGGCAAACATTAGCATTTGTAACCTTGACATCACCTGAGCTTCGAGATATTACTCGTAGCTCCCTAGCGCTTTCAGTCGTTTCCCGTATATCCTAGTCCTTCAAACTCGCATTGCATCCCCGTAGTAAAGGCGGGGAAGAACGTGTTCTCGATTCTCAAGATCCACAGACAATTGAAGCTGTCGTTGGGACCAGATCTTATCCAATCTCTGACTGTCAGCTGTGGGAATCTTGTCATCTTCGTACACCCCCTCATCTCGCCTGCGTCTGCGTCTGCGTCTGCAGGACCGACATACCCGATCTTTCTTCTTTGAATCCCAGCCAGCCTCAACCGCGGTACGAGCAGGGCGTGCAAGCCGTGCAAGCCCCACGAGAAACGTAAAATATCCTGTCCGTCCCTTGACCGCGTAGTATTTCATATCGCTAGCCTGGGCCATCGAGCGTGGGAGCAAAAGAAGTATAATTTGACATCACTCCCTCCATTCTCTTTCGAGTAAACACTTGTCTATCCCTCTGCCGAGAATCGTCTCACTCCTCATGTCCATCACCAACTCTCCAGAGACTTCAGAACTTTCCATCGAAAAGCCTGCTCCTCTTCATCTTCCCCTTTACAGCGCCAACATGGGAAATCCAAGACTCGAGGATACACCAGAGCTGGAGCTGATGTCTCCTTCTCTGGAAGAAGAGCAGCTGGCCTGGAGCAGGATTCGAGAATACTGCATGGATGCCTTCTCCGAATTCTTTGGAACAATGGTCCTCATTCTCTTCGGTGATGGCGTCGTTGCACAGGTTGTCTTGAGCGGTAACACCAAGGGTGACTACCAGAGTATCTCTTGGGGCTGGGGGTGAGTGACCGAGCAGTTACCCTTGTCAGAGTTTTCTTTTTGTTGCTAACAACGTTTGGCGAAATAGAATTGCTGTCATGTTCGGTGTCTTTGTTGGCGGTAAATCTGGTGGCCACCTCAACCCAGCGGTGACTTTGGCCAACTGTCTGTACCGCGGCCACCCCTGGCGCAAGTTGCCCGTCTACGCCCTTGCTCAGCTTCTCGGAGCCATGGCTGGTGCCGCTATCGTATATGGCAACTACAAGTCGGCCTTCGATGCCTTTGAGGGCGGCGCTGGTATCCGGACGGTGACTGGCCCTACCGCAACAGCCGGGGTCTTTTGCACATACCCTGCCGCTTTCATGACTCGGACAGGCATGTTCTTCTCTGAATTCATCGCCAGCAGCATTCTCATGTTCTGTATCTTTGCTTTGGCTGACCCCAACAATGTCAATGCTGGACACATGATGCCCCTTGCTCTTTTCTTCCTCATCTTTGGTATCGGTGCTTGCTTTGGCTGGGAGACGGGTTATGCCATCAATCTCGCTCGAGACTTTGGTCCTCGATTGGTTTCATACATGATCGGATACGGCCATGAGGTTTGGTCTGCCGGTGGTTACTATTTCTGGGTATGCCGAATTTCATCTACCCCTGTATAAACCATTCATGTTGCTGACTATGCATTGCAGATTCCCATGGTGGCCCCATTCTTGGGTACCGCCTTTGGCGGGTTCTTGTACGATGTTTTCCTCTATACGGGAGACAGCCCTATCAACACTCCGATGCTGGGCCTTACGCGCCTGTTCCGGCCTCGCAAGAATGTGTGGTCGAACACTCGCCCCTCAGCCATTGACACAAAAGTCTAATGGCTACTACCAAATGCTCAACGCTTTATGAAAACAGAACGAGATGGTCTCGGGAAGATTACAGGAAAAAAAAATACGGTGAACCGGGGTGTTAAAAGACATTATTTATTGTACAAAAGAAGGGAGAAAGGGGTAGGGAAATTATGGCAAAGGTGCTGACGAATTGTTTCTTGGTTTTGGGTATGTGTTTGATGGATTTCGGAGTAAGGTCAGATGTACAAGTATAGCGAAAGGTAATTTAGCGAGCGACATTGGTATACAGCCATGTAGTAATAATGAGTAACAGCCTTAGAAAATAGGAGTGTCGTTGGGTATCAATGAGAACTGTGAACTCTGTGATGTGATATCTGCCTAGCGCCCTGAAATGGAGAAGCTGCAGAGCAAGGGTACGTGTTCAAACGGGGGGCTTCAAGGCTGGGGTAATTGTGCAGCTGGACCAGTCTGCTGGAAATGCAAATGCAAGACGGCATAGATGGTGAAATGAAATGTGATGAATACTAGATTTGTGATATGCTCGGAGAATTCAGCCAGGTAGGTAGCCTGTATGGCCCAATTGTCACTGTTACCATATATAGCATGAGGCAGAGCTACTGCATCTCGAGTGGCTTACATGAAAAGGGGCTGAAATGCGAACCCAGCCTTATCTAGGGGGAACAAAAGCTTTTCCGATCCCCCTAAACCAATGACTTGGCTCACCGGTTCTTGCTTTGTACTAAAGCATTGGTGTAATATTGTTCAACACCACAGGAATCACACCGATAAGGCTGATGCCACTATCGCGAGATTCTGACAACACGCCCTGGCACTACCAGGCCCAAGCGCTGCTAAGCGATATCTTCCAGCCCTTTTGCCAAGACTTTTCCCTCTCTTCTCACTCAACCCTTGCGGTGTGAGATCCGCGACTGGTCAGAAAAGCTGCACGGGCTTCTCCGAATATGAGTTGAGAGGCAAAAGATGAGAAACAGAATGAGACCCCGGCCATGGTCACCTGGCCTCGTGCTGCAGTCGGTGGAGCTGGACGGGAAGACGGGTAGGGTTCTCCCTCGGTTTAGAAGTGGCCTCTGCGCGACACCTGGTATCGAGTATGCACACACCCTGCGTCTGTGCTGCGGTGGGAAACAAAGACGGGATTGAGACAATAGAAACGGGAGACGTTGAAAACGGTCTGACGCTCCCGCGTAAACCCGGGTGCGGAGCCATGGGATTGGACGAGAGAGTTGGTAATACTGGTAGCCGGTCTGAATGCAGCTGAGTTTGCCGACCTCAAGATGGCATGAGATGATGTGTGGTAACGCAAGTTTTCAGCTGAAGCGGGAGGCTATACATGTTTGCGCTGGACATGGTAGCTGAATGCTATCGGTAGGACAGCGATGGTCTTGGCCTCAGTGTCGTCGGTAGGTGGCGGCTCGTCAGAAGCTGAGCGCACCAAAATTCCCGTTATTGGTTATTGGCGTCAATATTTGGTGGATAGAGATGCAGGACCCTTGGAGGTCTAGATGCATCTAGCTAGGAGACTCGGATCGTGGCTGGCTGACTAACTGTGGCTGAAAATGGCGGAATGTGGCTTGCACTGTCCGGTCTGCATTGGCTGACATGTGACCAGCCGCTGGAACAGCATTTTGTCTCGGCCGAAACAACGCAGGCAACGTTAACCTAACCATCGCAATGGTTGTGCAGGCCGTCTGCCTTTAAGCTTATTGCCAAGCAACAGCTCGAAAAGTAAGAAAGCGCCTCTTCAGTTGGTGGGATAACCCCTCATACCCAAGACAGCAACCCGGAGTGATGGCGTTCCGCCAATGGAGAAAGCTGGCGAAAGCGCGGCACATCGTGAGTCTTCTATGAGTTTTGGCCCCAGCCTAAAAACTGGGGGATATCAAACTCGGTAATTTAATACCGAATAGATACCGAGAATGCCAAGAGCTGGACCCATATCGCAAGCCACAGCCGACCAAGTCATCGACTCTGTCCACTCAGATGCTCAGCTTTGACGCGTGGCTGATCGTCCTCGGTTTTCCAAGCCCGAATCGCCCCCAAGTCAGGCACTCGACTCCACTCCGCCGCCGCCATATTTGGAGCACGACCCGCGCAAGTCCGTAACCCGGAGGACGGCCTGCCGCGTGATTGGCCTAGAGGCGACAACCTGAACCCTTTCAGGGAATCCGATCCAGACTACTTCCGAACCGGGTGCACCGGGATCGCAGCCAAGAAAAGTCGATGATTTTTTTGGCATGGCAGTGGTTTTCCGAGCCCGTGACATCACCTTGTTGAGGCTGTGATTATGAGGCTCTGACGGATAAAGTCCAAACAAAAAGTTGCATCGGTTATGAAGCCCTGGGCACAGGACCAAGCCACCACGTGGAATATTCCGAGGCCAGATTGCGTGGCATCGAAAAGCAACTTCATCAAAGCCTATGCAGCCTTACAATTTCTCTTCTCCGCCGTGCTTTCCCAATCAACTCGCCCCTTTGGTTCCACGAATCAGTGCTGCCGGGGACCCCCAACTTGATCGTCGTATCGAGCGAAACCTCGCTGGACCCACGTCGGCATCATCGACCGAGCTCAGTTGACGTTGATTCTCAAAGTCACCTCATCTGACGCAAAACCTATTTTATTTTTCTTTCTTCGCCTTTATACTCCATTTTTGGCTTTCTGTGGAAACCCACGAACCTTGAATCTAGCCATCTCCTTGTCGCCGATCGCGCTTGGCCCTGGCTTCCTGCATCCTTTAAAACAACCGCCTTTGCCCCCCACGACATTTCTTTGCCTAAAGCTCATTCATCGCTCTACCTCACAAAAGATCCTACTGTCGGTGTTCGAGTTATTCAGATTACCTGCAGACTCGCGCATCGCTGCTGATCTTGTTCGAATCTCGTCACCATGGCTGGAGGCTTCTCGCGCCTTCGACGCCCTCTCCTGGGCCTGACCGCCGCCGCTACAGCTGGAGGCGCTGCTCTCTATGCTCGCAGCAGTATTTCACATACCACTCACAAGCCGATCGCAGAGGTAAAACGCGACAGCAATGGCCGCATTATTCCCCCGTCATTCCCCGCGGTGCCATCTCGACTCGAACAGCTTGCCGACCTGCGGCGCCACAGCAAAACAAACGACAATCTCGAAGAATACGACCTCCTCATTATCGGCGCGGGTGCAACTGGCGCCGGAATTGCGCTTGACGCTGTGACTCGCGGCCTCAAGGTCGCTATTGTGGATCGCGATGACTTCGCTGCGGGCACCAGTTCCAAGAGCACCAAATTGGTCCACGGCGGCGTGCGCTATCTCGAAAAGGCTGTCATGAACTTGGATTACTCCCAGCTGCAGCTGGTTATGGAGGCGCTGCATGAGCGCAAGACCTTCCTCACCATCTCTCCTCACCTCTCTAACTCGCTCCCCATTCTGCTGCCCCTCCAAAACTGGTGGCAGGCTCCTTATATGTGGATCGGCACCAAAGCCTACGACTTGCTCGCAGGTTCGCAGGGCCTCGAGAGCTCTTATTTTATGAGTAAGAGCAAGGCCGCTGCCAACTTCCCTTCATTGCGCCAAGAGAACGTAGTTGGTGCTTTGGTTTACTACGACGGCCAGCACAATGATTCCCGAATGAACGTCTCTCTCGCTCTTACCGCTCAACAGTACGGCGCGACCGTCTTGAACCATGTTGAAGTCACGGGCCTGAACAAAGACCAGAACGGCAGAATCCGCGGCGCCACCCTCAGAGATACTCTGGGCAACGGCGATGGCAAGGAATTTACCGTGCGCGCCAAAGGCGTCATCAATGCCACGGGGCCTTTTACTGATGCTGTCGAACGCATGGACGACCCTTCCCGCATGGCTCTCGTAGCTCCCGCTTCTGGCGCTCACGTCATGCTTCCTGGTAGTCTCTGCCCGAATGGAATGGGCATGCTTGATGCCACCTCCGATGGAAGAGTCATTTTCGTGCTGCCCTGGCAGGGATACACTGTTGCCGGCACGACGGACAACTCTTGCGAGATTGAGAAAGAGCCGGTTGCGCAGGAAGAAGATGTCAAGTTTATTCTTAAGGAGGTGAACAAGCTTCTGCGACCCGACTCGCACTTGGGCCAATCTGATATTCTGGCAACTTGGTCTGGTACGTATCAATTCGGAATCTGATCTCTATAGGCCCAATGAAGCTAACATGAAATAGGCATTCGCCCTCTTGTCCGGGACCCCAAGGCTAAGAACACCGAATCTCTCGTACGAAGCCATCTTGTTACCGTTTCGCAATCTGGTCTGCTCACTTGTGCCGGTGGCAAATGGACCACCTACCGCCAGATGGCTGAAGACGCCGTCGACGAAGCTATCAAGACATTCGACCTTGCACCTTCAGCTGTGTCATTCCCCGATATCAGTGGCACTGGAATGCCTGGTCTTCAAGCTACCGGCAACTGTTTGACCAAGAATGTGCCCCTTGTCGGAGCCCACGGCTACTCGACGTCTCTTGCCTCACAGCTCATGGAAGTTCATCATATCGATGCCGATATTGCTGAGCACTTGTCCCGCAACTATGGCGACCGCGCCTGGGCAGTTCTCTCGGCTTCCAACTCCGCTGCCACCCGCCTGATCCCATCGCTTCCTTTTGTCGAGGCCGAGATTCGACATGGCGTCCGCGCTGAAGCCGCCTGCACAGCTGCTGATGTAATCTCTCGACGCACTCGCCTTGCCTTCCTCGACATTGAAAATGCTCTGCGCGCACTCCCTCGTGTCATTGATGTCATGGGCGAGGAGCTTCAATGGTCTGGAGAGCGGAAGCAGCATGAGTGGAAAGAGGCCATTTCATTCTTCAAGTCAATGGGATTGTCGCCAGATAAGCTGAGCATCACTCGCAAAGAAGTCGAGGCTCTGCCTGCTCTCCCAAGCAGGAAGCCCGAGGTGGCTGCTGCAGTAAAGGACATGGAGCTGGGCAAGCTTGCGGCCAACGGTGTTTTGGCATAAGCGTGCATTTAAAGCAAATCAGAGCGCTAATTTATTGCTTGTCGCTGCCGCAGATGCAGAAGTCGGATTTCTTGTATATAGCATTTCTGCATAGGAAAGCGGTTTCTTTCTTTTGGAGTTTGATACCAGGGATATTAATTGGGTAAAGGAGAATGGAAGAGATGTTTGACTAGATCGCGAAGGTGCATTAGACTGGATAGAAGCAGTGGCTGGGATTTACGCATTAGGGAATCATTGACAGGCGTGTCTTTTGGCCTAGGCTAGTGTTTCACAGGATATAAAAATATTATTATTGAGAACTTTTTCTTGAAGCATTGCGTGATGCCAGTTGGAGAAATACTTGAGTGCCTAATAGTGAGCGCAGTCTTCCATCTACTGGGATCGATTGTGGCAGCACCGCTCCATAGCCGAGCGTTGGTCTGTTGTACTTTCTCAAATTATGTCGTTTCCAGGTGGTTCTACCGTAGATACTAGGAGGAAGTTGGTTTTGCTTACCTATCGGGAGAAGCTGTTGGAGGAGCAACCACAAAGCAAAAGGCAAGTACGCAACCGAAGTAGGAAGTGGCCATGTAGTCGTAAACACGCTATAAATATCAGCCATCAGAAGCTTTGCTCTTCAAATTATCTTCCGGCATCTGCCTTTTGACTGAGCAGTTTTGTGAACATCACTTTTCAATATCTTTTCTTATCACATTTGCATCACATATTCTTTGAGACAACAGCAACTATGGTCTTGTTCAAGCATCTCGCACTCTTGTTGATGGCGGCTCTGCCGCGCATCGCTGCTCTTCCCGTCAACGATGTCAACGCTATCAACGTCAACGATGTCAACATCAATGAAAACTCCATCAGCGCCGAGGGAAGATACATCGTCACCCTCCAAAACAACATGCCAATGCCTGAAGTCAGAAACCACATGTCCAGGGTTGCGGCTATCCAGTACCGTAACTCGGGTAACCACAGGTTCCCTCATACTGGCATCGAGAAGTCATATGCCATTGGCGAGTTTCGGGCCTACGTTGGAGCCTTTGACCAAGATACACTCCAGATGATCCGCAATGATACAAAGGTAAGCAAAATTACCCCAGCGACGAGAATCATTTCTGACACAAAAGCGGCATTTGCAGGTTGCGGAAATCGAGCCCGACACGGTCGTCAGACTTCACGACTCGACTTCATACAAGGCTGCATCTCAGCCCAACGCACCTTGGGGCCTCGCGACATTGTCCAGCAAGAGACGCAACACTGGAACTTACCACTACGATAAGAGTGCCGGCAACGGAACCTTTGCCTATGTTTTGGACACTGGCATCAACGTCAACCACGTTGACTTTGAGGGGCGGGCATCGTATGGTTACAACGCAGTGGATGGAGAGTTTACTGATCTTCAGGGGCACGGAACACACTGTGCCGGAATCATCGGGAGCAAGTCTTTTGGAGTGGCTAAACAGGCACAGCTCATCGCTGTCAAAACATTCCGCAATCATGAGACGCTGATGTCGACCGTCATGGACGCATATCAGTGGTCAGCAAACGATATTCGTACCAAAAACCGCGTGGGTCTCGCTGTAATCAGCATGTCTCTTGGTAAGTGGCAGTAGAGGAAGCTTGACTCTGGCCTCCGAGTGTAGCAAGACTGGCTGACGTTGCGGCAGGGGGGGCCTATTCTCGTGCCATGAATCATGCCGTTGAATCTGTTTTCGATATGGGCATCCTTACCGTCGTCGCAGCTGGAAACGAGGGAAAACCAACTCGGCAGTTCTCGCCAGCGTCCGCGGCAAATGCATTCACGGTTGGCGCCATCGATGCCGATTGGCATTACTGGGAGCATTCCAACTTTGGTCCAGAGGTCAACATCTTTGCTCCCGGAGTTGGCATTGAGTCGACGTACATCAGCACCGACATGGCAACGCGCAAGCTGTCCGGCACTTCGATGGCAGCCCCTCATGTGGCTGGTCTTGCGCTGTATTTGTGTGCACTGGAGAAGATTGACAATCCGACGGCGTTGAGAGAAAGAATCCTGGCCCTTGGCACGAGAGGTCGGATTCACAAGCTCAAGGGTGAAAGCCCGAACTTGATTGCGCACAATAACCTCCACTGATCAACCTGTTTGCTGTCCTCTTTGCTGTCTTCTTTGCGCCTGGGAATATAGATATAGCAGTATCATCAAGGTATTAATACAATGAGTTACACTAAGTTGGGAGCTCTTCTTTTTTTGCAAGTGCTGTAGCTGGACATGTAACTTTGAGCCGGTACGGGTGCCGGCAGCTGGCCCTACAACAACTCGAGAACTCACTTTGCTTTCACTTTTCTTTCCGATTCCCAAACATGTGGGACCACCGTCAAAGAACGCGTGCAATTTCCCAGTTTTCAATCCTCAATCCTCAACCCTCAGCTTCTTCATTTCTTCTATTCTTGGAGCGTTTGCCACTCATTTTCTTTGTTTGGGTTTCTAATAATTTTTTGCTTTCCATAATCCGGTCATGAGGTAGTTGCGAAAAGTAGACGGCTGAATTAGCTTGTTGTTGGTTCCCCACGTCCTCCATGCCGGCATTGTTCCAATCACTAACTCTAGCATGGTACAATTTTTGGCATTTTATACTAGCCTACGATACTTTTGGATTTTGAGGCGTCAACAGATTCAGGAACAAAATAATGAACGGGGAAAGGAAAGCATTGCAGATACAGGAGTACCTTTGGTGGCAAAAGCAGCGCAGTGAAACAGCAAGGAAGGAAGATGCATCAGTCCCAGTACCATTCCCATTGCATATCGAGGGTGAAGGAAAGAAAGTCATGACTAAAAGGGGAAGAAGCATTTCAATGCCGCCGTTTGAAGGGTACAACGTTATTGACTCGCACATTTATACTCGACTGAGGAACTTGTGGAAAAGTGAGTCGGAGCGGTGGTCTCTGGAAGAGCGACGAGACTTTATCAGATGGGTGCCCAGGGCGCGTATTACGGAGCAACAAAACAGTATTGTCAATCATAGACTGGCAAGATATATGCGGAGGAATAAGAGATTGACTTGGGGGCATTTTGTCATTTTGAGAGCAATGTTTGGGGCGTCACAATGTGCGAGGCAGAAATGGTGGGAGGAGTTCAAGGGCAAATATAAGAGGGCTGCGGAAGGAGTGCCGCCGGGCGTTGTTCCGAGAGATGTGGAAGAAGTCTTGGAGACAAACCGGATGAATTGCCCTCCTATAATGAATATCCCGACGATGGAGGTTGAAGATGGTCATGTGGGCGAGGATTGTGGGTGCTCGTGGTGCTTGGAACATCCAGCCATAGCAAAGCGAAAGAATGAGCCTGTGAGCCAAGGGGACAGAGCTGGAGAAGCTGGAGGTGCGAAAGCTGAACCGCACCTGGAATGTCCTCGGGTGCAGGGCCTGTATACAGGAGAAGGGGAGTCGAAGGAAGATCGTGTACAGAGAATAGCACGCGAGGCGGGCGTTGAGCCGGAGGAGACGCCGGCGGGAGGAATCGACGACAAAATGTCTGAGCTTGTGATTCGGGTGCCGTCTCTTCGGGAGAGAAGGGATGCTATCTTTACGGATTTGTCGACTAGCAGACTGAGAGAGATTGTGCTGGAGCAAGGGGGGGTGATTGAGGTGTTGGTGCAGTTGTTGAAGGAGCAGCGTGAGAGGACGGAGATGTTGGCGGCAAAGGTGGAAAATGTGGAGGGGAAGTTGGAGAGGAATAAGAGGTATCGTTGAGATTTATAGTCGGGAAGGTGAAGAGTTGAAGAAGAAAGAGTGCGAGAGAAAGGGTAATGTTGTTGTAGAAAGTTATAGAAAGTTGATGGTATTGTGCTTCAGGGGAATTGGACACATATAGGGCTGACAAGTCTAAAGATTTTGGACAGGATGCCAGTCTCCCTGCATCAAAAGATAGAGCTGTATATTATTGTTTCATATAGTGAGCTTGAATCTCCGGTGGCTCTAAGACTAGGATACGTGCTCTTACTGGAATAGTAGGAGGCCTGTAGGGTACGTGGAGATTAGCATGGCCCTGATGAGACAACTCAAAGCCGTCACTATGCATGTGTCTTTTGTCATTATTTTCGTACGTGCCAATCCAGCGTCTCAATAAGAGCAATCATGTACATGTACCGCAGACAACTTTGCTGCGCGCATGGCCGATGGATACAATTGTGCCTTACATCTTCTCTAGCATCCAAGCACTTTGCATGAGGCTAGGATCTCAGGTGTGGGTAAAGCTCCTGCTTTCCAATACGACAATGGCTATAAAGGGAAAAAAAAACACATCACTCTCTGTACCAGTATTTAGTGAGTTCTTTTTACTTCTACTTATTAGCACAACAGACGTGGTGAATGGAACAATCGGATGAGACTGATAAGGCCATCAAGGTGATGCAGCTATCACCATCCATCGCAAGCGCCGATTCAATTGGGCCAACGCATGGCCAGACGCAACGCAAGCACGCGATCCCATTGAATAATGTGAATTATGCAGAGAAATTGTGCCAAGGTCATACAAATAGTCATGCTCGATACACACCAGAGTGGCACGATGGTCACCTCAGCCTGATGTGCCCAATGAAAGGCATCAGAGGCGGGGAAATTGCATGTGAAGTGCGTTGTCGAAGCGGCACAAAAGTAGACGGAGGTACTGCGACATGGGAGGTGGGGAAATGGCGAGGTACCTCGGCCGCGCTTGGTGGTGTTAGCGACGATGTATTGGTGGCATGTACTTTTCCTCTGTCTTATGAATAGGCAGTGCGCTGACCATGACTTTAGAACGGCGTGGTTGGTTCAAACGTTGCTTAAATGCCCAAGAGCTCAACTCATGCTGCTTTACAACAACAGTTAACAGTTGGATAAGTAGATACATGCATCTTGCTGACTGTCAGCCGTTGAAAGCTTCAGTCTGAAGCGAGTGACTGGCTTACTGCTTTATGGGCGCGGGGTAGCGGGGTTCGCAGTTTTTAACTTTGAGCAATGGACTTAGCGCTCGATTTAGCGGCTGTCTAGCCACGGTGCTCCAAGCCTTTGGTGCCCGCATCCCCTGTGGCTGCTGCCCTCGTCGCTGAAGCTGTGTTGTTGCTGCTATGCTCCTTCGTATAATAGACGGTACGCGGGGTGGCAACCACATCACCCGATAACAATCGATTGCAAGTACATGTACCTCATGGCTGCATGATAACGCGGGCACAATATTCCCGCATGCGAGATGTGTACACGTCAATAGCTTAGCCGGCAGAGACTGACAGACAGGCGGCGAGCTGTTTGCATCTTCCTCTCTCTTCCCGTCTCTCTTCCATCCTGCAGAGCAACATCCGTCTTCCCGCACAGCCATGGGTTCCGAAGAGAAGAAGCCCGTCATCATCGTCGGCGGCGGCCTGGCCGGCCTCGTGGCCGCCTTCGAGCTGGCCGAGCGCAAAGTGCCCGCCGTCATCATCGACCAGGAGAACGAAAACAGCCTGGGCGGGCAGGCGTTCTGGTCGCTGGGGGGCCTGTTCATGGTCAATTCCTTCTACCAGCGCCGCATGGGCATCAGCGACTCGCGCGAGCTGGCCATGCGCGACTGGCTGGGGTCGGCGCAGTTTGACCGCAACGAGGACTACTGGCCGCGCCAGTGGGCAAAGGCCTTTGTCGACTTTGCCACGGACGAGTTTGAGGACTACATGCGCGCGCGCGGCCTGGGATTCCTCTTCAACGTGGGCTGGGCCGAGCGTGGCAGCGGATATGCCGACGGCCATGGCAACTCGGTGCCGCGCTTCCACATTGCCTGGGGCGCCGGGCCCGAGGTGGTCAAGGTCTTTGCGGATCCGGTCCAGAAGGCGGCCGCGGAGGGGCTGATTGAGTTCAAGTTTCGGCACCAGGTCGACGAGCTGATTGTGGACGGGACTGGGCGAGCCGTGGGCGTCAAGGGAAGCATTCTGGAGGAGGACAATTCGGCGAGAGGAGAAAAGACTAGTCGAAATGTCGTCGACAGCTTTGAGCTCCACGGCGCCGCTGTCATTGTCACCTCGGGCGGCATTGGAGGCAACATTGAGGCCGTCAAGAAGAATTGGCCTGTGGACAGACTTGGACCCAAGATACCCGAGCACTTTGTGATTGGCGTTCCGGCTCACGTCGACGGCCGCATGCTTCAAATCACGGAGAATGTTGGGGCCAACCTCGTCAACAGAGACAGGATGTGGCATTATACTGAGGGCTTGCACAACTGGAACGAGATTTGGCCAGAGCACGGCATCCGCATCCTGCCGGGCCCTTCATCTCTCTGGCTTGATGCCACTGGCAAGCGTTTCCCGCCCTACCTGTTCCCGGGAACTGATACGCTCGGCACGTTGAAGGCCATTTGCGAAACGGGCTACGACTACAGCTGGTTCATCCTGGACCAGTCCATCATTGCATGTGAATTTGCCCTTTCTGGCTCGGAGCAGAACCCAGACCTCACCGCCAAGAGCATCTGGGAGGTGTTCAAGAACCGAATGTGGAGCAAAAAGGGGACCATCAATGTGCAACAGTTCCAGGAGCACGGCAAGGACTTTATCGTGCGCGATAACCTCAAGGACCTGGTAGATGGCATGAACGAGCTGGCCAAGGAGCGAAACGGCCCCATCCTCGACTTTGAAAAGGTCAAGGACGTTGTCGACGCCCGTGATGATCAGTTCAACAACTCCTACTCAAAAGATGCGCAGGCCATGCTCATCCAGAATGCGAGATCGTACTGGCCAGACAAACGTAGCCGTGTTGCGAAGCCGCACCGCCTGACTGACCCTGCTCACGGTCCATTGATTGCCGTCCAACTGAACCTGCTGAGCCGCAAGACGCTTGGCGGCCTCGAAACCAACCTGAACAGCAACGTGATGAGAAAGGACATGACGCCGTTCCCGGGTCTGTATGCCGCGGGCGAGGTGGCAGGATTTGGTGGCGGAGGTGTCCACGGCTACAACTCGCTCGAGGGCACGTTTCTGGGCGGCTGTATCTTTTCGGGTCGCGCAGCTGGACGGGCTGTAGCAGATGAGCTGTCAGAGGTCGAGAAGGCGTAAACGTGGAAGAATTGAAGCCCTATTAGCAGCCAAAACCTAATGCGGGAGAGACGAGAGACGATACAAAACGACACACGGCGAACCTGGAAGCGGAGGAGTTGGCATTGGCATTTTTAGTGTTATACAGTTATGGCTTATCCTTATTGACTCAATGAGACCAATGACATCCTTGTCCCCTAAACGCGATAGACGATGACCTTCCATTACGTACTCTAGCGGCATCGTATTTGATCTTGAAATGCTACCAGACAGGGGGTTTCCCACGATGCGTTCTAGATTAGGAGCGTTGATTGGTGGAACATTTTGCGTGCCCTCTTCGGAAGAATTGCCCGAGTCTGTTCTGATATGGTATACGATATGCAATTCTACCTCCTCTTCATTGATCGTTTCAGCGCAGCAATTCCGGACAAGTATCCGTCAATGAAGCAATGGGTCCGGGGTAAAATCTGGGGAAATCTGGGGAGAGGGGAAATCTTGCGAGTACAAAATGGGGGAGTGACCGCAGCTGTGAGTCTTGATAGTGAAGCTTGGCTGGAGGTCAGACCCTTTCAATTGACTTCCTTTTATACAGACAGATTGAAGGACCGCCACGATGCATTTCCCTTCTCTTTCCTTTGCTGTGCTCTCCGTGGCGGGCATATCCCACGCCTTGCCTGCTCTCGGCTCTGGCTGGCCAACACTCATCCCCAACACCGTTGTCATTGATGGCTACCGTCTCGTAGAAGCAAAGCTGCGTCTCGACCTCGGCGATCACAGCCTCAAGTCTGCCCTGAAGCATCTCACAGCCCAGGCGGACAGTTGGCTCAGCCAGGGCCCCTGGACCGTCACCGCAAAGGCAACTCCTCCCCCCAACGGCACGCTCCACGACTACACGTCGCAAGCACCGTATTTCTGGCCCAATCCCAATACGCCAGACGGATGCCCGTACATCAACAAGGATGGCGTGCGCAATCCCGAGGTGGACAAGTACCAGGACCGCGTCTCCGTGGGGAAAATGTTCAACTCGTCGTATGTGCTGTCGCTGGCGTGGTACTACACGGGCAATCCGAAATACTCCAAGCACGCCTCTGATATTCTGCGTACGTGGTTCTTGGATTCGGCTACGGCGATGAATCCGAATCTCGATCACGCGCAGCTCATTCCCTGCGCCAACTCGGGCCGGTCCATTGGCATTATTGATTTCAGTCAGGAATACACAAACGTCGTCGACGCAGTGGCCATTCTCAACACCGGCGCGCCGGGATGGACGTCCGCCGACGCAAAAGCCTTTGTCAGCTGGAATAAGCGGTTTCTCTCGTGGCTCGCAGACTCGCCGTTTGGCATCCAAGAGGCTTCAGCGCAGAACAACCACGGCACCTTTGCCAACATGCAAATCGCAGCACTGGCGCTCTTCACGGGGAATCACTCCCTGGCCGTATCGCAGAGCCAGTTGGCCAAGAGCTTCATCAACAGCCAAATCACAGCAAACGGCTCTCAACCACAGGAACTCGCCCGCACGCGCAGTTTCCACTACTCCAACTTTGACCTGTGCGCGCACCTGCGCTTCGCACTCATCGCGCGCAAAGTAGGCGTCGACTTGTTCAAGTACAAGGGCCCGCAGGGACAGTCACTCTTTAAAGCGGTGGAGTTTGTGATTCCTGCGGCGGCAGGGGGAGGCAGTCAGTGGAGCTATCCGGAGTTGGGATTTACGCAGTATGCGGCGACGGATAATGTGAGGGCGGCGGCGCAGGAGGGGGATTGGATGGCGGCGAGGGCGGTGGATGGGCTTGTTGCGCCGCCTGGGGGGGATATTTTTGCGTTGAGGCCGGCGCCTGAGCAACTGGATAGTATTGCGACGGTGGGATGAGAAGGATGAATGAGTTATGGAAAAGGGGGGGGGGGGCTTTGGGATGGGAATGTGTTTATAAGGTGAATCCTGGTTTTTCATTCTTGGAGGAGGGTGGCCCGGCAATTAAAGTATTTAAAAGGATGACATGATTTAACTGTTTCATTTCATGGGTCTAACCGTTATGTTGTCTTAAATGCATTGCATACCTCCCCCCAAAACCTCCGAGTCGTTATACTATATGTACATGTACCCTGAAATATACCGAGACATCTCAGTAGCTAACGCTATATATCTGCCAGTAGTCACGTCCCCCCGTCATCGTAGCATAGCTCGACGTCCCCCCACCCCCAACAGACAGGTAACTCTGCGTGCCCTTGACCTTGATAACGTACCCCCTGCCCGCCGTGTAAGTCACCGTGAAGACGACAGCCTTGCTTGGATCACTGCAGAGCAGCTGGCTCGCGCAAATGTAATTCCTGCCGCTGTCGTCGGAGAATGTGAAGTCTGTGCCGCCGATGACCACGGCGTGGGCAATCCATCGCTGGGCTGGGTTGTCGTGGCGCGATGTAGCTCGGCCCAGGACAATTGCCTTTGTGAAGGTTGTCTTTTGGGCGAGGGCAAAGCCGTTGAGCTCGAGGACGAGGTGGCGGCCTTCTGTGAGCGTTCCGCGGATGGCCTTGAAGCCCTGCTGGGTTTGGGTCGTCATGTCGTCAATGACACCGTTTCCCGTGTACGGCACCGGCGGCTGCGTGTTGCCATACTGAGACTGGCAGTACGACGAACCATCGTAGTTGCCGCTGGAATCTGTATGAGGCGTCTGCGGCTGCGGGATGAAAGGGATGGTATAGTCTGGGTGGTCAAAGTCAAAGGCATCGGTCAAATCAGACATGTGGCTGCGGCGCCACGGCACCATCTGGTCGGTCGTCACGTTGCGCCCCTTTGCGGCCTGCCACTTCTCGACAAACATGATTTGCGAGTTGTGGTCGCTGTGCGCGGTGAAGACGCCGCCGTTGCGCGTCCAGGGCGAGATGATGTAAAACGGCAGCCGGAAGCCCGGGCCGATGAAGGTGTAGCCGACCTGGCCGTAGGGGTCCTGGATCCATTCCCCCGATGTGCCGTTTGGCGACCGGTATGGGTCGACGTGGTCGAACCAGCCGCCGGTCTCGTCGTAGGAGACAATCAGCGCCGTCTTGTTGTACTTGGGCGAGTTGAGCACGGCCTGGGCCACCTGGTACTGCAGCCAGGCGCCGTCGTGGGGGGAATAGGGAGGATGCTCGGAGAGCTCCATGGGAGCCACGATATAAGACACCTCGGGCAGGGTTCCGTTGGCGGCCTGCGCGTAGAACGTGTCGAGCGTCAGACCCTTCATTCCGCGGTTGTACAGGCTGGACCCCGGCGCCGCGTTCTGGAATTGCTCGAAGCGGGCGTAGGAATTGTCGTCAAAGTTGTCGGCGTCCTGGAAGACTTGCCAGGTTGTGCCGGCATCTTCGTAGAATTCACCGACGGTCTTCCATTTCAGCGGGTAGCAGTTGAAGCCGCCGGATTCGCAGCCAGGAGTGATGTTGTTGTCAATGTAGGGGTTGCCACCCTCGCTGGGGGTCTGAGGACCGCCGGGGGCGTTGATGCTGCCGGAGAGCCAGGTGACTCTGTTGGGATTTGTTGCGGCGACAACACCTTCCTGTGGTTCTTATTAGCTAACTTTTGTTCGAATTGTATACTTTAGGCTGTGGTATAACGCACCTGGTACATGTCTCCAACGACAAAGTTGTCTGCCAACGCCCACTGGATGGGAATGTCCTGCTGCTTGTAGAACCCAATACTGTAGGGGCTATTGCCCACCGCCCAATGATCATTCGTACCATCATTCCAAGCAGCATGGTTCTCTTGCCAGCTATTGGTGCCGGTAAGCATGCACTGAGTGGCCCCGGTCCAGTTGCCACCCAGATAGTTGATGTACCACGGGTTCACATAGTCGGCAGCCGTGGTTAATGAAGAGTCTGTAATCTGTTTCCAGACCGGCACACCGTCGTTCATCTGCAGATTCGCATCGCTGAATCCTCGAACTCCTGCCATTGTGCCAAAGTAGTGATCAAAGGCACGGTTCTCTGTATACGGGCATCAATCCCATCGTCAGTAAAGGCTTGATAAGAATCCGCAAGATAGAGTGCCAACAAACCTTGCATGAAGAGAACCACATGATCGATATCTTTCAGACTCCCAGCCTTGACAAGACTGATGATGGAGAATAGGGTCGCCGAAGCAGACCCCAGGCCTCGAGGAGGAGCCATTTTCAGCGTCTGCCGTGATAGTAAAACTGATAGAACAAAAAAAACCAGGTTGACTTATCCACCCTGCTTCACCAAGAAAGCGAAGAAACATTCAAGCATCTTTTAAGATTAAAACGTCGTACAAAGTATATACTATATATATGTACATGCTGATCAGAGCGACTGACCCCTCTTGTGCAAGCATGCCTCTCAATTTTTCGATATTCCAGGCACCGTGATTCGCCGATCACGACGTAGCATCGAGCGTCTCAAGCGCGGCCGTCCCTGCCGAGCCGCTGTATTCCATTGTGCGGTTAAACAATAGAATCAATAGCATAGTACCTTGGTAGATATTGCACCCCCCCAGTGTCGCATCGTCGCCTGAACCGAAACCGGAAGGTCAAGTCATTTCCAACGGCGGGCAGATGATCGCCGTGGGGTCAGAAGAGCCGGAGCCCTGCCATTATAGCAATGAAATGCGAAAAATGCCTGGCCCCAGCCGCTGAAGAAAATTCTCTGCGTCTTAGCAAAAAAATGGGAGAAGAAGATCGTTCGTGATGCTGCATGCAAGGGATGTCATTGGCTATTTGAGCGAGGCAGATGGCGAGGTGGCAGCGCGGGCCATCGAGACATGTGCCAAGCAAAGAGGCCAATCGCAACGGCACGGCAGCCCTCGTGATGGCGGCTGTGGTTGGCTGCAGCTTGCAAGGCTCTGCAGGCTCTGCAGGGGTTGCGAGACCTGGAGCAAGGGACGGGACTTTTCGTCAACAGGGGTCCACAGTCACAAGATAGTGCACGTAGGTGAAGACCCGGCGACTAAGACAACGGCTAATATTGAGGCGATGGACGGGACGGAAAAGCCTCATAGCGGCATGAGGCCAGGTGGTCGATATGGAATGCCCATCGACCAAGTATTCAGGCATATATATGTATGGAACAAAATGAAGAGAGCCTGTAAACGCTCCTATCATCTGGGTCGTACGCGTACACGCCAAAGCGGATCTGTGGAATTCCTATCAAATCCAGATCCAAACCGCAACGAGGCGCTGTACTAGCCCAGACAGACTCCAGCACAGATTCCAGACCTCCTCTGTGGGCCTCCGCTAACGAAACTGATCCCAGCCATCGCCAAGAAAAGCTCAAGCAGGTTGGATTGGGCTGTCCCCACGTGCTTGGCCTATGCTCGGCAGTCGATGCCGCCGACCTACCTGAACACTTACGTACTATTCCACGCGGCCATTGCATGATATCACTAGCAAAAACGCTGGTGATGCGGTCCGACCGTCACCGCCCTTGAACCTCTTCCCTTTCTATTATGATGTAGTACTATACTACTTGCTATTTGTCTGTTTCTCTACCTGTACTTTTTTCCTCTTCTGTGGATGGTCCTGTGACGTCTCTCCACGGAAGATTCGACTTCCAACCACCAAAAATGAGGGACCGTCTCGAAGACCGCCGTCTGCTTGACGAAGTAGACGGCGACAGCGACGATGTGGCTTCGCAGCTGAGCGCCAACGAAGAGGCAGCTCTCCCAACTGAGCCTGCTGTAACACGCCCCAAATCCAGATCCAAGTTTACGGTGCTGCGAATCGTCGGTTTCCTGCTTGCCCTTAGTCTCGCCTCCATCGTCGTCCTCGCCTTTGCTATTGATCGCCATACCCGCGACTCGTTCGACGAGAGCCAGCTCGCTATTCCTCTGCACCCCGTCGAGCACTCCACACGAGATCCCACGACTTTAACCTTTGAGTGGCACGTCACCCTGGGCACCAGAGCCCCGGATGGAGTGGAGAAGCAGGTCTATCATGTTAATGGTGTGTAAGAACCTATGCAGAGTCTTGCAGCCGACTCAAAGTCCCGACTGGGCTAGCTATTAATGCTTCTAGCAGGACACTTTCCTGGACCAACCATCGAGGGTCGATCTGGAGACCGTATCATCGTCCGTGTCTACAACGACCTCAAGGATGAGGGTCTCTCCTTGCACTGGCATGGCCTGCGCATGCAAGGCTTCAATGCCATGGATGGTGCCGTAGGGTTCACCCAATGCCCGATTTCGCCTGCAAGTTCGTTCGTCTATGACTTCCGCATCCGCGACGACGAACACGGAACGTTCTGGTGGCATAGTCACGCTCAGCTACAGAGGGCAGACGGTCTCTTCGGAGGGCTCGTAATCCATGAGCCCCGTCGTCATGATGCCAACGCAGCTTTGCAAGACGAAGCATTGCTGTTGATCGGTGACTGGTTTCACCGTAAGCAGGGCGATATCCTTGCTTGGTACTCCAGCCCAGCAAGTGCAGGCAAGGAGCCCGTCCCCGACTCCATAGTCATCAACGGCCGTGGCCGATACGATTGCTCAATGGCCGTCCCAGCTAGGCCTGTCCATTGCAAGGCCACGGCCTTGAGTGACTTCCCACCTCTGATTAAGAAGTCTGCCGGAGAAACACGCCTCAGGGTGGTGAATACGGGCACAGTCGCGGGCTTGACGTTGGGAGTTGACGGTGCATCGCTCCAGCCATTGGAAGTAGACGGAGGCTGCAAGGTTGATGCCAACGCCGGCGATTCTGTCGGAACCCTATATCCTGGCGAGAGAGTTGATCTGCTTCTGAAGTGGAAGAGCGACCAGGCCGCAGAGCCGTGGTTCAACGTCTATTTAGACCATGAGTGCGTATCCCAACTAGTTTATTCTTCTCCAGCCAAGTTGAAAATGTACAACTAACAAGATTAGAAATCTCGGCTTTGGAAATCCCGCTTTGAATCCGAACCATACCTTTCCTGCGCTCCCAAAAACCGTAACCGGTCACGATAGGGAATATGCGTCCCCCTTGAAATTTCGCGATCACCACATGGATCTTGCCATGCTCTCTTCAACAGAAGAACCATCTCGTATTGTCACTGCGGATGAAGAGCAGACAATTCTGCTTTACGCCTCAACCCAGACGCTCTCAGTGAATGGGAACATTCCTCTTGGCTTCATTAACCATACATCATGGCATCCCCAATCGCTGCCACTGCTATCACAGAATCGTTCATCGTGGGATGATAAGCAGCTCATTCCCTTTATCCCCAGTGGATCAAAACCTACCAGAGTCAAGCTTGTGATCAACAACCTTGACGATGGCTCTCATCCGTTCCACCTTCATGGATACTCGTTCCATGTGCTGTCCTCGTTCCGCGCTGAAAGCGGCAGCCTGGGCAGCTATAACCCTTATGCGACTTCGGAGAGCGACTCTCCGGGCGAGTGGAATCGAGAGAGGCCTCTGCGAAAAGATACTGTCAGCGTACCGAGGAAAGGCCATGTGGTACTCAGCTTTGTGGCTGACAATCCCGGTATGTGGATGCTGCATTGCCATATGCTGGTGCACATGGGAACAGGCATGGCTACCGGCTTTCAAGTAGGAGTTCCGGGGGATGAGGAGCATATATACGGATTAGACGAGTCAGCAGCAAAGTTGTGCAAGGTATGAGGAAGAAATGACCAAGATACCCCAGATATAGTTTAAGTACAGCGATACATGAAATGAAATAAACGAATGAATGAATGAATAAATGATTGACTAAGTAAATGATTGAATGGATAAGTAAATAAACCTTGATGAAATCTGTCATGAATCCATCAAGTAGTACTAAGATATACGGGAGAATATGAACAATGGGGGGTATCAAGAAATAAACATCATATCCAAGACATAAGTTCCCTCGCCGGGATTTTTCTTTTCTTCATAATAATTACCACAGCATCCACGTATATATAACGGAAATTGATGAAAGGACTGGCATCCAGATGAGAGAGTCTCGACACCTTAGGCTCCGCGCAGCGCTCTCGTCGTCACCGGTGGCAGAAGGCGCCGGTGCTGGAACAGGTACTCCAGTTGGTACAGTGGGCGGTGCTCCGGCAAGGACCTTGTCGCCGGAAGGATACTGGATGTTCCAGACGGGATCGTTTGTGAGTTTGTCGGGCAAGCCTAGGGTGCCCGGACAGGTTGGCTGGTTGTTGGGCGGGTCCAAGGTACAGGTCTGGTCTTGTCCAACAGTGCATATTGCGTCCATGATATTGTATAAAACGTAGTTGCCCGCAACCCACGAACTCTCCTGCTGCAGACAGCTGAATAGAAAGTTCATGCTATTTGCCGCGCTGAGGGGAAGCTTGCTGCCCTTTGTGTGGATCAGGTCGGCGCAGTTAGACATGTCGACGTTTTCTGCAGTCATCTCCATGGGGCCTCCCGCAACGGGCTTTTTCGTGGCCGAGTAGCCGGTAACGAGGTAATTCCAGGCATCGTAGCTCATGTCGTGCGCGCCCTGTGATTGGTCGACGCGGAGGAGGTAGACCTGGCGGTCCTGGTACGAAACGGACACGCAGATGTTGTTGCAGTTGACGGGCTCGGGCCAGTAGGCGGCGCGGTTGGTGTTGATCTTGCAGCCCAGGACGCCGACGGAGGAGGAGTATTGCTCGTGGGGGGTCGCCCAGATTGTGGTTGTTGAAGAGTAGGGCACTGAGCTGCTGCGAGGGATTGAAGCAGCGAGCGCAGGGCTCGCCAGCGTAAGCGCTGAAAAGAGAGAGTGGAGGTGCAGCATTGCTTGCTCGTATCAATCACCGGGAAAAGTGGTTCGTCAAAAGTGGTTCGCCGGTTTGTCATAAAGAACGGACGAGGCCTTGAAGCATGGCCGAACGAAATCGAAAGAAAATAAAGAATGAATGGCGGCGTTTGCGCCGAAGCAAATTGAAGCCTGCGATGGCGCGTGTATACGCGTAGCTGCGACAATGAAAGAAAAAGAGAGTGTGAGGAAGAAGGAAATTAAAAAAACTCGTTCGACTATCGAGATGCACCAAATCTGGGGGAAATTTGGTGGTCAGGGGATTATCAGGCGCGCTAGGCGGGGTTGGGGCTAGGCGCTGCAGCCTTTGCCGATGGAGCCGCCGCGGGAAAAACGTGGGCAGCTCCACCGATTCTCCAGATGATGCGCCAAAGCATCTTTTTTACAAAGGGCAGTGGAGTTTTTGTGGCCTTCGGAAGATCTGGAGAACAAGCAAATCAGATGGGACAAACGATTCGATTTGAACATGAGTAGCACTGCCGGGTTGGATACACAATCAGATTGAGATTGACGAATGGAACTCATATTGCGGTACTAAACTATTAGGGATCCCTACAACTAAAGGAAAAGTAAAACATAGATACGTGCCCTTTTTTGGTTATGTGTTTTGTTCTCAATAAATTTGGACAGCATCAAATCAGCGAGTTTTTTCTTGTTCTTTTCAGATTTTACGTTTTTGTCCATCTCTTCATTTCTTGTTGAAATGCAGAGCCTCCTTCATCTTGTCCATCGTTGAATGGCGGCCCTGTTTCTTCTGTCCAGTCTCCATTTGTTTTGATGCGTTCATAGACTCCTCGCCCATGTCGGGCTGGGTCATTGCATGGTCGCCATGGGACTATATAGCACCAGTCATTAAATGACATTTTCCATTAGTAAAGATACAGTAATTCAGAGTATACACACCCTTTGCTCCTCGAGCTCGGCCTCGTGAATGAGGTCGTGCGTCTCAATCGCCGCCTCGTCTGTTATTCCGCCCGTGGTGTTCATATTGGAGTTTGATAGAGTCTCAATTTATGTAAAGTACTCAATTGAAGATAGGTGAAGGAATTAGGAAATAAGCTCACAAAGAAGGGGCGGGGAGGAAACTAGCTTTCTTATAGCTGTTTAGAGAAGCTACGCAAGAGAGTTTCGTCATTGCCGTAGAGCTGTGATCGCCCGATGCTATCAACGTCATGATGAGAGCTATCACCCCTAAAAGCTCGATTTTGATGGCGATACCCCGCGTTGAAGGCGCAGCCATCTCCAGCTTGTCAGGCGATACAGTCTCAAGCAATGGCGAGGACTGTATGCCGTACCGGGTTTTGGTTGCTGTCGATCCGTGGCACTCAGACTGTGCCCCATTCAATGCTGTTGCAATGACATTCATTTGGCGGGGCGTTTTCGATAGTAACAGAGCTCATTGAAGCTTTCGGCTAGGTGAATTTAGACGAATGAGAGTAAAGTTTATTGTTTTTCTTTTACCGTGTTTGGTATAAATCGTTCAAATAACCATTATTAACAACCTCGTGACCTCTTTGACCTCATCCATGACAGCTATGAGAGCTGGACCTGATCGGAGTTGGCAAATACTCGCTATAGCGAGTATCAAGATGAATAAATATATTTAATGATCGATATCTCTGTAATTATGCTATACCTTGATCCTTGAATTTGGGCTGTTGGCATTAAGAAGGGGGATATTATAGTGCTTTCATATGTAACAAAAGTTTGTGACTGAGGCTCTACTTATGAGTATAGAAATAAAAAAGGAAGTCATGTATATACTTACCTTAACAAAGTCTATAGTTTCGGCGTATTCTAGAAACTATAGCTCCTTGTTTCGAGGGCCACATACAGTACGCACACAAGATCTCATGCAGGCAGTCCTCCACCATGTACGTATCGCAGTTTTGCAAAGATGCCATTATATGAAGTTTCACTGGTAAAGGTGGCGCTAGGTCTATCTGGTAGATCTGGCTTATCTCCTATTAAAGAGAACTAGTTATGCCGCATCATCATGTGAATACATCATCATCATATGAGCGAGACAGCGGTTATAGAGAGTCCGGCTTGATAACATGTCAGTTTGATGACGCTATTTTCCTTGCATTCACACAAAACCTTTTGCATTTAGTCATCCTGTGATTCAACAACTATATGCAAGTAGGATGCCACGAAAGGTTGATCTCATCTACTCTGTTCATCGAAAGTAGACCTCAAGCTGTTATCCTCTTCGGTCGATACATGTAATCACTCGGCTATAACCTCGTGCCGAGTACATCACTCGTTCAATTTTAAAAAGAGTTTTGAGCATCACGATACATCTTGCAAATATAGACTTAAAAACCGGCCGCCTGGTGACAGAATCAGCTGCATGTACCTTGATGTTACATCGCGATACCTCCAGCCCAGTAGCGGCTCAGGCAAAGCAGCGACAGGTACATGTAAACGGGCGAGCTAGCGAGAGGAGGTCTTGGGACCCTGAATGTCGCATCCGCTAGTTTCTATCAAGTTGGAATATTTTTTCATATTCTTCGACTGTAAAGTTTTTACTGAACATTTACAGTGCGCGCTGATATTGAATACTCGCTTCCAGACATTGACGAGCAAGCGTCGTGGCTCGTAGCAGTATACAGGGACCTCCACTTTTGGTCGTGATAGATCGCCACAGCCTGAAACAGAAATAGACTTTCCAAAAAGGTTTGTTCGCTCTAACTTGATGCAAGATCTAGAAAAGTCAATTGAAGAAAAAAAAAAAAAGCCCGAGGCATACTATTGTTTGTTGTTCAATAAGGATCACGCGAATGCAAAAGCCGAATCATGAGGCGCTTTCTAACAGACCGCCAGAAGAACTCGTGCCGCAACGACTGGTCTGGTAGAACCCAGGATCGTGTCGCCGTGCTGTCTTGGACAGCCGTCTAGCGCCAAAAAGGCCGCGTAGTACGGTGTATCACCCCACGTCCCACGAACAAATCCCCTCCAACCGCTGTATCTCCACCGTAGCGCCCGCATCGTTATAGGGGCCTCTAGCAGCGATAGCGCGCAATCTGGGGGGATCTCAAGGCCCCTAAAATGCGCTAACAGGGAACAGCAGGGAGCGCCTGGCCTTGTCGAGGCGCCAGCGACGAGACACTCGTGATGCGCTAAATTGGAGCCGGAAGAGGGCGATGACGATGAAGTAACGACGCCATCATGTTGCGTTTCAAGATGTGGCTGCTGGGCCGTGCCCCGAGGCTCCGTATAAAGAGATCGCCGCCGACTTCCTCCCGCCATCATCACCTTCGTCGCATGCTAGACGTCTCTCTGCCCGACAGGTTCCGCAGTTGATCTGCCCGATCTGCGGCCCCGTGAGAGAATTAAACGCTCGACATTCGCTGCTATTGCGCACACCACGCAGAGCCAAAACCATGAGGCTCCCTTCATTGATATCGGCGGCGACCGCTGCCCTTTCGCTCTTTTTCGGCGCATCGCCATCGTCGGCCGCTGCCATCATGTCGCCGCGCGATGCCGCTTCCCCTCCCGGGACTCTCGCTCTCGACGTCGGACAGTCGCTCTTCACGTTCAAGTACTCGACGCCGAACCCGGACCCCTCGAACTGGATCGCAGTGTACCAGTCATATTATGGCGGCCCTGTTGAGCAAGAATTCGTTGCTGGCTCGCTGGACTGGTCGTATGCGCCCGATGCGACGGGCAAGGTGCTGGTCGATGTCTCAAATCTCTCTCCGGGCTTCTACAAGGCCTATTTCCTAGCAAAGGGCGGATACCAATGGCTTTCGAAGCCAATCGACGTCATCATCCCCGGCTCTGGCCCGATTGAATTCGTCACCGATCGGATCATCACCCAGAATGCCCGACAAGGAAGCCCCTTCAAGGCAAAGCTCGGTCGCCTGATTGCCAATCCCAAGGACAACGCCACCCAGTTCACCAAAGTCACCAGCTACGGCACTGACTGGGTGAATCTTTCCAAGGACGGCACCATTTCTGGCACTCCTGGAAAGAAGGACAAGGACACAAACTTTGTCGTCAAAGCGACCGCGAGCGATGGATCTTCTGCGACGATCAAGGTCCAGATCCCGGTGCGCAAAGCCGGCGAGCCGCTCGTGGAAGAAATAAAGGTCATGTCGTACAATATGTGGTTTGGCGGCACAAACGTGAAGGACTACCACAACAAGCAGATTCGCTTTCTCGTCAACATTAATGTCGACATTGTCGGCGTTCAAGAGAGCTGGAATGGCCAGGCAACTCGTCTCGCTCAGGCGCTCGGGTGGTATTACTGGCAGAGCCCCAATGAGGTCGGCATCATCAGCCGTTACCCCATCGTGGAGACGTTTCCCGAACAATCTGCCGGCGGATCTATTCGCATCGAGCTGGACGGTCGCGAGAGCCAGCTCATAATGTGGAACGTCCATCTGGGATTTGATCCTTATGGTCCGTACGACTTTTGCTACGACCACATGCCTCTGGCCCAAGTCCTCAACCGGGAGTATGAATCTAAGCGCACTCCACAAATCATGGAAATTGTCAGTGCTATGCAAGATGCTCTCTCGGAGGCTGACGATATTCCCGTTATCCTGACGGGCGACTTCAATGCGCCATCTCACCTGGACTGGACCGAAGCAACCAAGAAGGCGCACTGTGGCTATGGCTTTGTTCCCTGGCCAAGCTCCGAGTTTCCCATCCAGTCGGGTCTGATTGACTCGTTTCGCGAGGCTCACCCCGACCCCAACGCTGAGCCCGGCATCACTTGGTCTCCGATTTATCTGGACAACAACGGTCGACCCGAGCCGTTAGATCGCATTGACTTTGTTTACCACAAGGGCCAGAGCCTCAAGGTTCTCCGGTCGGAAACGATTGTCGCTGGCGAGCCCGCTGCAGAGCCGAATCACCAGGACAACGAATGGACGACTGATCATGCGGTTGTGATGACGACTTATAAAGTTGAACGATCGGATAGGCGGGCAGAGTTGTAAGTAGACAAGAGTTTTAGTGTGCGTACATGG